GCTCCAGCCTCTCCCAGCTCCATAGGGCCCAGGGAATGATCCCAAATATCCCAGCTCCCATCCCCAGCCTGGCTGTGGCTGCCACGGACCCTGCTCCAGCCTCTCCCAAATTCTCAGGGCCAAAGAATGAGGGAATAATGCCATGGGGCCCAGGGAATGATCCCAAATATCCCAGAGCTGCTCCAGCCTCTCCCAGCTCTGTGGGGCCCAGGGAATGATCCCAAATATCCCAGAGCTGCTCCAGCCTCTCCCTGCTTTATGGGGCCCAGGGAATGATCCCAAATATCCCAGAGTTTCTCCAGCCTGTCCCAGCTCTGTGGGGCTGAAGGAGCAATCCCAAACATCCCGGAGCTGCCGATCCCAGCGGATCCCCGGCCCGCCCAGGCTCCCAGATGTGTTTGGCTGCGTGTCCGCGGAGGTGTCAGAGCAGGCCAGGGACAGGAGGGAACGTCGGGATCAGGAAACGCTTCAGAGTTTCCAGCTCTGCTCCAAATGAATCCTTTAACCTTTTCCAAGCCCTTTTTTCCAGTGGCTGCGAGGAGCTCGGAGCCTCCTCGTGCCCGGCCAGCCCCTCCCAGCTCCTGCAGGGGATTTGGGATTTGGGAATCTGGGATTCGAGAATTCAGCACTGGGGTTTGTAGGGAAGGGGATGGAGCCCTCAGGCTGAGGCCAGAGGGGACCCAGAGGCACTTCTGGGGGCCGGGAGTTTGGGATGGGGTGAAAGAATTCCATGGGGCTGGCGGTTTGGGATGGGATCAAAGGATATTCCACGGGGCTGGGGGTTTGGGATGGGCTGTAAGGATTCCGTGGGGCTGGGAACCGTCAGGACCGAGCCCACCCCACAACAACCCTCAGACCCAGAGACACCAGGCAGGAACCACGTGAGATTCCAAGCCAGGAATTAGGGCGGGATGGGGGAAAACGCTGCCCCAGCATCTCCCAGCACCTCCCGGAATTATTTCCCAGCATCATTTCCCAGCCTGTCCCAGCCGGGGTCGGGAAGGGACCACGCGGGGCTCGCTGCCCCTCCCTCGGCACTGCTCGCCCCGTGCCAGGGAAGCTGCGGAGCGGCTCCCGTGGGCAGCCGGTGATTCCAGGAGCTCCGGGAGCGCCCAGCGGGGCCGCCCCAGCCCCGCTCAGAGTTTCCAGCAGCTCGCTCGGCTGTTGCTCCGTCTCCGGGTGACCGACTCCCTCCAGATTCCCTCAAATCTCGGTCCAAGAATGTTGTTTGGGCTGAAGAATGCGTGGCTGGGAAGGAAAGAAAGGGGAAAGGGAGCTCGGGGTGAGCGGGGAGGTCGAGGCGGGGCTGGCCCGGCTCTCCCCGCTGCCCTTCCCGCCCTGCGGTTGTTGGGCAGATGTGGGGCCGGGGCCGCCGCCCCAAAATGATCCCGGGACCCCTCGGGATTCCCTTTCCCTGCGGTCCTGGGGGGTGGGAATCCATCGGGACCTTCCCCGGGCACGGGGGATTGCGGGGAGCCTGCAGGGAATGCCTGGGGGAGGAGGAGGAGGAGGAAGAGGAAGAGGAGGAAAATGACAGTTCCCTGCATGGATGAAAGAATGAGAGGTACTTGGAGAGAGGGAGAAGAGGAAGATGAAGAAGAGGAAGAGGAGGAAGAGGAGGAAGAGGAGGGTTCCCTGCATGGATGGAGCAGTCCAGAGACAGCTGGAGACAGGAAGAAGAGGAAGATGAAGAAGAGGAAGATGAAGAAGAGGAAGATGAAGAAGAGGAAGATGAAGAAGAGAAGGAAGAGGAGGGAGAAAGGAAAAGCAGGGAGATAAGGAAGATGAGGAAGAGAAGGAAGAGGAAGAAGAGGAGGAAGACAATGAAGAGAAGGAAGAGGAGGAAGAGGAGGAAAATGAGATTTGCCTGTATGGATGAAGCAATCTAGAGGTACCTGCAGAGAAGAAGAGGAAGAAGAGGAGGAAAATAAGGAAGTGGAGGAAGAGGAGGAAAATTAGCAAAATGATGAAGAAGAAGAAAATGAAGAGGAGGAAAATGAGGAAGATAAGGAAGAGGAGGGAGAGGAGGAAAATGAGGGTTCCCTGCATGGATGAAACAATCCAGAAGTACCTGCAGAGAGGAAGAAGAGAAAGATGAAGAGGAAGATGAGGAAAAGAAGGAAGAAGAGGAAGAAGAGGAAAAGATGAAGAAGAGGAAGAAGAGGAGGAAGAAAACGAAGAGGAGGAAGAGGAGGAAGAGGAGGAAGAGGAGGAAGACCTGCCTGAGCAAGGCTGGAGTTGCCAAGGATTCCTTGGCCCAAATTTGGGAATCTTGACCCTGGAATCTCATAAAGAGCAGCTGGGACCTTCCAATCCTCAGGGATTTGCCTTTAGGGACAAGGACAAGGACAAGGGGGACCCCCAGGACACACCTGGAATTGGTGACTCCCTCAGGAAAAGCCAGCAGGGGCGGGAGGGCAGAGCAGCGAGGCTGGAACCCCTCGGGAGCAGGGAAGGAGCAGGAATTTCCACAAGGAGAGGAAGGGAGGCCGGGTTTGATCCCCCTCAGCCTCGGCAGCAGCAGCAGGGAAATGTTTTGTTGCTTTGTTTTGTTGGGAAGCATCCTGAGAAACCCATCCGTGGGGAAGCTCCCGGGACTGGAGGATTAAAGGCAAAGCCGGGGCAGATTTGGTGCTTCCAGCTACGAAATTCCAAAGGATTTGATCAAAACAGCTGGAAAAAATCCATCCTAAACAAGCCCTGCTCCGTTTGGGTTGGAAAATCAAAGCAGAGCAGGGATGAGATGCAGACTGAGATCCTGGAATGACCAGTGCCGATGGGATGGGGCACGGAGGAAGGGTTTGGGATTCCAGGAATCCAGGGCAGCGCATTCCCAGCTCCTGTCACCAGCTCCGGGCTCCCTCCGAGCAGCCAGCAGCAGGGAATTGATGGTTTTGGGAGGAAAAAATGTGGGAAAATGTCATGGAAGTCACTTGGGAAGCAGGGATGAAAGGAGAGGGAGCAGGAGGTCCCATCCACACCCTCCTGGTGCCAAGGAGCCCTGCCAGGAACTTTGGGACGTGGGGGATGACTGGAGCGTGAGATTCCAGGGCTGGATGGAGACAAAAAGGGGAGAAGCCTCACGGGGCTCTTCAGATGGGAAATGCTCATTTTTCCTGAGGTAATCCCGCTCTGGTTGGGGTGAGGCTGGACAGAGGTCCTGTGGGAGCCCGGGGGCTGAGCTCCAGCACGCTGCATTCCCTGGATGGGGCTGGAAAAGGGGACGGGAGTGGCACCACTCGGGGCCACCTCTGCTCCCCAGCGTCCCCAGGGCACCGCTGGGAGCCACCAGGGAGGGTTCCTGCTCCAAATCCCGGATCCTTCACACTTCCAGGAGCTGGGGAGGCCGGAATTCCTTATCCAGGGGGCTGTTTGCTTTTCCAGGAAAACCTCCAGGCCCTGAAATCCTTGGAGCTGCTGGCCAGAGGTGCTCTGACAGCAGCAAAATTTCCTGGGATTTCAGCAGAATTGCACAAAAATTTCCCAGGAATTTGGCTCCTCGGGAACGGGATCCAGCCCCTCCATCCTCTCCATCATCCCAAATCTCTCCATTCCACGTGGGATTCCTTCTCCAGCTGCCACCAGAACGCTCAGAGGGGATAAAAAACCCCAACCCCCTTCCCTGGGCTTTTCCTGCCTTTCCCTGCCCCCTTTTCCCACCTTCTCCACATCCTCCCTCCCTGCAGACGGGCTGTGCTTTCCAGGCACATTTCCCTTCCCAAATATTCGGGATTTCTGGCCGAGTCCCCGCGGTACAGCGTGTCCCTCCAAGCCCGGCCACCGAACTCCGCTCACATCGCTGCTCCTCCTCCTCCTCCTCCTCCCGGCGCTCAGCATCCCTGCAGGGCTCCCCTCCGGGAGGATGTTTTGGCTGGGAATTTCCTCTGGAAAACAAGGAGCAAGGGAGCGCAGAGGGGGCGCTGGCACCTGCCGAGCTCCGCGGTGGTTCCCGGCTGCCGGGGGATGCGGGAGCCGGGCCGGGCCCCCGGCCCCTCCTTCCCTCGCTGTCCTCTCCTTGCGGGGGGAAAAGCTTGGGGAGGCCGGGAGGAGCCTCGGGGAGCCGGGGTGGGGATGGGGACAGGGGTGGGACAGCTCTGCGGGACCCCCCCGGGGCACGGGGTGAGCCCCAAAACCTCTTCCCAAGCGTGGATCACCCTCGGGACACGCTCCCTGTCCTTATCCACCCATTCCCACTGAGCCTCGAGGGGATGGAGGAGATCCCAAACCCCAGGGGATGGATAAGATCCCAAATCCTGGAGAAATTATGAGATCCCAAATCCTGGGGGATAGATGAGACCCCAAATCCTAAGGGAAAGGATGAGAACCCAAATTCCACAGTAGGGATGAGATCCCCAAATCCTGGGGGATGGATGAAAACCCCAAATCCTGGGGAATGGATGAGATTCCAAATCCTGGGGGATGAATGAAAACCCCAAATCCCAGCGGATGGATGGGATCCCAAATCCCAAGAGAATGGATGAGATCCCAAATCCAGGGGATGGATGGGATCCCAAATCCCAAGGGAATGGATGAAAACTCCAAATTCCAAGGGATGGATGAGATCCCAAACCCCAGGGGATGGATGAGATCCCAAATCCTGGAGAAATTATGAGATCCCAAATCCTGGGGGATAGATGAGACCCCAAATCCTAAGGGAAAGGATGAGAACCCAAATTCCACAGTAGGGATGAGATCCCCAAATCCTTGGGGATGGATGAAAACCCCAAATCCTGGGGAATGGATGAGATTCCAAATCCTGGGGGATGAATGAAAACCCCAAATCCCAGCGGATGGATGGGATCCCAAATCCCAAGAGAATGGATGAGATCCCAAATCCAGGGAATGGATGGGATCCCAAATCCCAAGGGAATGGATGAGACCCCAAATCCTGGGGAATGTATGAGACCCCAAATGCAGGGGATGGATGAGACCCCCATCCCATGTGGATTCTCCCAGCCTGCAGAAATGCCAGCTTGGCAAACCCCACGCTGCCAAACCCCAAGACAAATTCCCGCTGTCACAGTGGCCCCTTTGCTGGGGAATTTATTTACTTTGGATGCCGCCGCCTTATCGTCCATGGAAATGTTTATCCCAAATATTTAACGGCAGCACTGCACAAACTGAGGCTTCCTGGGGAGCACCCGGAGCAGGGCCCACCTCTCCCCTCCTGGCGGTGCAAAAATTCAGGAAAATTCCTCGTTTTTCCCCAAAAATCCCATCCTCAGCACCCCCAAAATTGATATTCCTTAAGCCAGCCAGAGGCCTCCTCAGGGCTCCCTGATGAGAAACGCAGGAGAGCCCTGGAAAGGAACATCCCCACGCCGCTAAGTCGTTAAGCAGAGGGAGCCTGCAAAGTGCCAACACTCCTGAGAGAAAAGAGACAGAGGAGGGAGGCAAATCGCAGCTTATTTATAACGCCAGCAGCACCAGGGGCTCTCCAGATCCTCCTGCACAGCCGCGGCAGGGAGGTCACTGCCGAAACCGCGCCGAGCCGTGCCGTGCCGTGCCGAGCCGTGCCGAGCCGCGCCGGGAGCCGGGGCGGGCACGGGGCGCTGCGGCTCGGAGCCTCCCCCGCGCCCTCCCTCCCGCCCATGCTGCCGGTGCCACGGCACAGCCCGCAGCAGCCCCTGCACAGGAGGAGCGCAGCTCGGTGAGTGCGGCTCGGCCGGCTTTAGGCAGGGGTTTTTGGGGGTTTTTTATTGGTTATTTGGGTTTTTGGGTTTTTTTTTTTGGAGGACTGGTTTGTGTCCCTGCGCCCTGGCTGCGCATGGCAGAGCCAGGGGTGGCACAGCTGGAGAGATGGAGCTGCTGGGGAGGCTCCTGCCCACTTCTGCTGTGCCCATCTCCCTTCCCACCCACTTTTCCCCATGCCCACCTCTCCTGCTGCCCGATTCCTCTGCTGCTTCTCTCTCCTGCCCACTTTCCCTGGTGCCATCTCCCTTCCCACCCACTTCTCCTGCTGCCCCTCTCTCCTGCCCATCTCTCCCGCTGCCCACCTCTCCTGCTGCTCTTCTCTCCTGCCCACTTCTCCTCGTGCCCATCTCCCTTCCCACCTGTTTTCCTGATGCCCCTCTCCCCTCCTGCCCACTTTTCCTCACGTCCTTCTCTCTTCCCTCTTTTCCTGCTGCTCCTCTCCCATCCCACCCATCTCCCCTCTGCCCCCTCCATGCCCGCTTCTCTGGGATCTGGGCACCTTCCCTGACGTCCATCCAGGCTGGGCAGAGCCCCCATCCCATCCCATGGATCCCAAGAATCCCATCCCACCCCATAGATCCCATGGATCCCATCCCATGGATCCCATCCCATGGATCCCAAGGATCCCACCCCATGGATCCCATCCCATGGATCCCATAGATCCCATGGATCCCATCCCATGGATCCCATCCCATCCCATCCCAGGTTCCACGCCTGGCACAGCAGCACTGCCAGGACCCCGTGGATGGCCCCAAATCCTTGGGATGAGGAGCTGACCCCATTGCAGCCCCTGGCACAGGACGGGGACAGCAGGAGGGGACCTCAGGGCCAGACCCCACCCCAAACCTGGGGGTTCACCCAGGGAGGGGAGAGAACCCCACAAACAGTGGGGGGTGCTGGGGGCAGATTTTGGGGTCAGCAGAGGGTTGAAGGGGGGCACTGGGAAGGGTGGGAGGACACCAGGAATGGGTTCTTAACCCAGGGATGGGGATTTTCCTCCGGGCATCCACTGGGATGAGGTTTTTGCCTCCAGGTATGGGGTTTTTGACCCCAGGTATAGGGTTTTGCCCCCTGGGATGGGGTTTTTGCCCCCAGGGATGGGGTTTTTGACCCCAGGGATGGGGTTTTGCCTCAAGGAATGGGGTTTTGCCCCCTGGGATGGGGTTTTTGCCCCCTGGGATGGGGATTTTCCTCCAGGGATGGGGTTTTGCCCCAAAGGGGCCCCCAAGAAGGGGCTGCCAAGAGGGTGGAGAAGCTGCAGGCTCTGGTATGAGAGCAGGCACAGAGCCCTGGAGCAGCAGCAGCAAGAGGAGGAGGAGGAGGAGGAGGAACTCCTCTGCCCCTGCCAAGGGCACAGAGCCCTGGAGCAGCAGCAGCAGGAGGAGGAACTCCTGTGCCCCTGCCAAGCTCCCCGTGGCACTCAGCATCCTCCAGGATCCCATCCACTCCTCTGCCCCTGCCAAGCTCCCCGTGGCACTCAGCATCCTCCAGGATCCCATCCCGAGCGCACGGAGCGGGGAGCAGGGAAAAAAGGACAAACCCAGGCCTTGCCAAGCCTGCCTCAGTCCCTCTTTTTTCCCGTGCCAGGGTGGCAGGGCAGGGCAGCCAGTGCATGCCAGGCTGGGGACACGGCCAGGGGTCACCAGGTGACCTCAGGGCCACCCCTGGCACGGCAAAAAGGGGACACTGGTCCCTGCTGTCTCTGCTGTCCCTGCTGTCCCTGACATCCCTACTGGTCTCTACTGGTCCCTACCTGTCCCTGCTGGAGCAGAGCTGGCAGTGACCCCCTCCCAGCCACGTCGGATCCTCTCCCGCTCCCAGCAGCCAAATTCCTGGAGGGATTTCAAGCAGCCTGGCTGCAGGAACACCCCATGCGCTCATTTGTCCCGGGATGGGGAGGCAGGATGACTCCAGAGCTGGAATCCTCCCGCTGCAGCCCCACCTGGGCACGGCAGGAGGGTCAGGGATGGGTTTGCCTCATCCCCTGCTCCCCTCTGGATCCATCACTGGGTGTTGTCCCCTCTCCCTGGTCACACCCAGGGTGCTGCTCCTTTTTGTGCCTGGGGGAATGGAAGCTCGGGAGAGGTTTCAGCTCCAAAATCGGGCAGAATTTGTTTACCAGGATCTGCATCCTGCGTTTCTGTGGGGGAAGGGAGAGTTGGATGAAACCCACAGCGATTCCTGTCACCAGCGAGCGGAGCAGAAATAGCTCCTTCAAAAGATGCCTCCAGCTCCTTCAAAAGGCTCCTCGAGCTCCCAGAATCACCCTGATCTGGCAGCTTCCCCTCTCAGCCAGAGAATTCACATCCCTTCTCCAAGGGGATCCGAATTCCTTCTCCTGCCTCCAGGCAGAGCCAACCCCGGGCACCTCGCGTGACCCCGCACGGATCCACGTGTCCCCAGGCCGTGCCCCCCGCCCAGAAACTGGGCTGGAATTGGCCAGAAACCAGGATCTCACCAGCACAGCCCCGCTGGGGTGGAGATTCCTCCCACACCTCCTCCAGGGTGGGAGGTTTCTCCCAAATCTCTACTGGGATAGAGATTCCTCCCAAATCTCCACTGGTTTCTCCCAAATCTCCACCAGGGATGGAGGTTCCTCCCTAAATCTCCACTGGGATGGAGATTCCTCCCAAATCTCCACTGGTTTCTCCCAAATCTCCACCAGGAATGGAGGTTCCTCCCAGATCCCCACTGGGAGGGAGTTTTCTTCCAAATCTCCACTGGTTTTCCCCAAATCTCCACTGAGGACTAAGGATCCTCCCAAATCTCCACCCAGGATGGAGGTTCCTCCCCAGATCTCCACCAGGGATGAAGGCTTTTCCCAAATCTCCACTGATTCCTCCCAAATTTCCACCAGGGATGGAGGTTCGTCCCTAAATTTCCACTGGGAGGGAGGTTCCTCCCAAATCTCCACCTGGGTTGGACGTTCCCCCCTCAGATTTCCACTGGGAAGGAGGTTTTTCCCAAATGTCCACTGGTTTCTCCCAGATCTCCACCAGGGAGGGAGGTTTTTCCCCAAATCTCCACCAGGCTGGAGTTTCCTCCAGGGTGAAAAGTGGGAAGATCACACAACTCCACACACGAGAAGTGTCCACAGCCGGGGATTTTTGGGTTGGATTCGCCCATCTCCTGCTTCTCCAGCCCTCCCTGCCTCCCCAGCTCACCCTCCCTCGGCTTTGTCCCCTGGCAGGTCCCTCCAGCGCCATGCCTCGGGCCACCACCCTCATCCTCATCCTGGCCGGGCTCTGCGGCTCCTCCGTGGGCCAGTACAACGAGGAGGAGGACCTGGCGTGGCTCCAGTACTACCTGCGGCAGTCCCGCGTCTCCTCCTACAACTACGTGCCCTACTACGAGGAGGAGAGCCCCGCGTACGCCTACTCCTACCCCTCTGCCACCGACACCGAGCCCGAGCCCGAGCCCGCGCCGCAGCAAGCGGCGCCCTGGCGCTGTCCCCAGGAGTGTGACTGTCCCCCCAACTTCTCCTCGGCCATGTACTGCGACACGCGCAACCTGCGGTACCTGCCCTTCGTGCCCTCGCGGATGAAATACGTCTACTTCCAGAACAACCTCATCACCTCCATCCAGGAGGGCGCCTTCGACAACGCCACCGAGCTGGAGTGGCTGGCGCTGCACAACAACCAGATCAGCAGCGAGAAGATGGGCAAGAGGGTTTTTGGGAAGCTGCAGCGCCTGGAGAGGCTCTACATGAACAACAACAACCTGACCAGGCTGCCCGGCCCGCTGCCGCGCTCGCTGCGCGAGCTCCACCTCTCCTACAACCAGATCTCCAAGGTGCCTCCCAACGCTCTGGAGGGGCTGGAGAACCTCACGGCGCTCTACCTCAGCCACAACTTCATCTTCGAGATGGGCGCGTCCCTCAAGGGGCTCAAGTCGTTGATCCTGGCCGACCTGAGCTACAACAACCTGAGGAAGGTCCCCGACGGGCTGCCGGCGTCCCTGGAGCAGCTCTACCTGGAGTACAACTACATCAACGCCATCCCCGACGATTACTTCCAGGTGTCGCCGCGGCTGCTCTACGTGAGGATGTCCCACAACAGCCTGACCAACCAAGGGCTCTCCAGCAACACCTTCAACAGCAGCAGCATCCTGGAGCTGGACCTCTCCTACAACCGGCTGCAGAAGATCCCGCGCGTCAACACCAACCTGGAGAACCTCTACCTGCAGGGCAACCAGATCGACGGTGAGCAGCGCTGGGAGAGGGCGGTGGGGACCCGCGGGGAGCACCCAGGGGTGCTTGGAGCGGGAATTTGGGGTTCCTGAGCGAGGCAGGGGTGGGAGCTGGCCCGGCCTGGAGGTTCCTGTGGGATCGCTGCGCTGGGTTTTGGGGTTCCCGGGAGCCTGAGCATCTCCTGGGGCTGGAGAGGGTGGAAAGCAGGGGATGAAGTAAGTCAGGGGGGCCAGGAGGGGTCACGGCAGTGGGCAGAGCTGGGGGGTCCCCAGAGCCACGCTGGGGACACGGAACACCCAGGGCAGTGCCAGCACAGGGGACAGGGACATTTTACAGTGCCCACACAGGGGACAGGGACATTGCCCAGCGGCAGAACAGGGGACAGGGACACTCTGCAGTGCCAGCACAGGGCACAGGGGCATTGCCCAGGGCCAGCACAGGGGACAGTGACATTGCCTGGTGGCGGCACAGAGGACAGAGACATTCCCTGGTGGCGGCACAGAGGACAGGGACATTGCCCAGTGCTCAGTGCCAGCACAGCCCCTGTCCCCTGCGCAGCCCCATCCGTGTGGGCATTGCCTGGTGGCGGCACAGAGGACAGGGACATTGCCCAGTGCTCAGTGCCAGCACAGCCCCTGTCCCCTGCGCAGCCCCATCCGTGTCCCCGACCCCGCTGTCCCGACCCCGCTGTCCCCACCCCGCTGTCCCCACCCCGCTGTCCCGGCAGGCCTGGAGCTCCCTCCCCTCCAAACACAAACAAACAAAGGGCACGGGCTGTTCTGGGGCTGCTGTTTATAAAAACGGGCTGGGAAAACCAACCCCGAGCAAAACCCCCCGGGAAAAACCAGAACTGATCCCCTCACCTGGCAGGGGCTGAGAGAGGGGCTGGGATGGGGTGGGAATGGGATGGGATGGGATGGGATGGGGATGGAAATGGGATTGGGATGGAAATGGGATTGGGATGGAAATGGGATTGGGAATATGATTGGGATGGGGATGGAATGGGATTGGGATGGAATGGGAATAGAAAATTGGGATGGGAAATGGGAATGGGAATGGGAAATGGGGATAGGGATGTGGATGGGAAATGGGGATGGAATTGAGAATGGGATTGGGATGGGAATGGGAATGGGATTGGGATGGAATGGGGATGGGAACAGGGACAGGGATGGGAATGGGGATCGGAATGGGGAGGGGATGGGATATGAGCATGGAAAATGGGAATTGGGATGGGAATTGGGATGGGAATTGGAGTGAGAAAGGGGATGGGAATTGGAATGGGAAATGGGGATGGGACTGGAAGGTGTCAGCGCAGCCATCAGCTGTTGCAGGGAAAACACAGAACCCCGCAGCGGGGAGCTGCCAGCAGCACAGACACGGGAACAGATTCCCAAATGTTTGCTTTCCAAACCGGAGCCGCCGCCGTCTGCCCGCAAACGCCGCCGGCCCCTCCTCCTCCTCCTCCTCTGCGGGCCCTGCTGACCCTCCCAGCCCCCCAGGATCGGGAATGCGGCTCCAGGGGGTCGGCCCGACCCCTTTGGACCATGCATACCCTGTTGCTGCCCCTCCGAGGGTGCAGCCCCCAATCCCAGCCACCCCCCAGCATCCTGCTGGTTTTCCAGCAGCAGCCCGGCCCGGAGCTCTGCTGCCCTCTAGGCTCAAACCCTGCACGGAAAAAAAAACAAAACCCAAAAATGTGTTTTGGACTTGGTTCTATCTCCCGCTTCCAAAGGCTGGGCTGGGCTGGAATTTCCCTGCCTGGCGCTGGCAGCAGAGGGGGCGGCAGGGAGGGGGACAGGGACACCCCCGCTCCCGGGCTCGGGGGTCCCACCGCGGCCAGAGGGGTCGGGGCATGGGGGCTGCAGCGCAGGGAGCCTCCAAAAGAGGCTGGAAAGGCAAATCCTGATGGAAAGGAACGTTTTCTGTCCGACTCCACCCTCCGGGAGCTCCAGCCCGGCTGGGCAGGGAAGATTCCAAATCCTCCTGCTCCTCCTGGCTGCGGCCAGGAGCACCAGGAGCGCTTTTAGCTTGAGGGGTTGAGTCCAAATCTGCAGGAAAAATCAGCGAATTTGGGCTGCTCCCGTTTTTTATCCCCCTGCCTGCCTCAACACAGAGCAGCTCTCAGAGGTGGAGCCCCCAGAACAGAGAATTTCCCACTGAAAATCAGCCCTTTGGGGAAGGTTTGGGGGATTCAACTCCAGGGATGCCCTGGGAAGGCTGAGCTAGAACAGGGACTAGACAGAGCTCAAGGATAAAGCAGGGATTTATGAAAAGGATCTCCATGGATCCACCTCGGGCAGCACAAGAGCCCAGCCAGGGCTGCACCCAAATGAACCAAAATGGGCACAAAACGAACCTAAAATGGGCACAAAATGAACCCAAATGAACCCAAATGGGCACAAAACAAACCCAAATGAACCAAAATGGTCACAATGAACCCAAGATTAACCAAAATGGTCACAAAACGAACCCAAGATGGACCAAAATTGTCACAATGAACCCAAGATGAACCAAAATGGTCACAAAATGCATGACCACTCACGGGGTCTCACACTTTTATCACTTCTGCTCGTCATTTAAAATTTGGATAATAGAGAGAGCCTGAAATTTGGATAATTTGAGATTTGGATCATAGAGAGGGCCTGAGATTTGGATCATTTGAGATTTGGATCACAGAGAGGACCTGAGACTTGGATCATTTGAGATTTGGATCATAGAGAGGGCCTGACACTCGGACCAATCACAGAGCCACGTAGGAATTCCCTAAAAATCCCAAACTCCCCAGCTCAGCCCCCCGGGTGGCTGAGTTTGAGGACGAAGGGGCAGCTGAGCTTTGGGGTCACCGGTCCGGGTGGTCACCCCGACCCTCCGCCTTGTTCCTGCATGCAAAGATCTTTTTTAAAAACCCCAAAAAATCCCATAATTTCACCAGCATGAACTGTAAACCCCAAAGCCGTCAATAAAACCCTTGCAGCGCCTCTCCTCCTCTCCGGGATGGGTTTGCAGCCACAATTCCAGGCTGGAATTGCCGTCTAGCGGCTGGCACGGGCATTTCCCGGGAAAGGGAAAATCTGGGCGGGAGCGGGGAGGGATGGAGGCACCTTTGGGGTTTTTTTTTTTGGACCCCCCAGGCTTCGGTCGTGAGGATTTTTAACAGCCGGGCTGGGGGATGGTTGAGAAATGAGGGAATAAAAAATAGGAATTTCACACGGGCAGCCAGGGAAGCACAGCCGGCGGGGTTCTGTGGGATGCAGGAGTTGGGATTCCAAAAAAAACCCCAATCCCTGGTCAGGGGCAGCCCCAAAGGTGCAGCCAAGGCTCCTGGGGAAGCCAGGCAGGAAGATCCCAAATCCAATCCTTTGGGAGACCCCTTCCCCATCCCAGGGTGGCACGGGGACATTCACATCCCAAAATCCCAAATCCAATCCTTTGGGAGACCCCTTCCCCATCCCAGGGTGGCACAGGGACATTCACACACTCATCACATCCCAAAATCCCAAATCCAATCCT